TGCATTTTAATGCGTTTCTATGGGCTTTTTATTTTCGCTTAGCGATGTTATCACTTAGCAGCAATTTTTTCTGTACGAGTTAACATCACTAAGCCACTGTACTCCATCTAGTGGTAAAAGATGTACAATATATTACATGTGATGTTCCTCATCTACATATCTTGTATTTAGTGTGCTTTGTTCTGTCTGCACTTTATTTACAAGTCTGATCACTGAGGCATGTACCTCTAAGGAAATCCTGTTGTGGGACGGAAACCAGGTTAATAATTGGGAATATTTATTTATTTTTATTTATTACATTTATAGCCAGCCCATTTTATTTATTTATTTATTTATTTATTTATTTGATTTATATCCCGCCCATCTGGTATATCATACCACTCTGGGCGGGTAACAACATATCATATAACAAATTGCAATTTAAAATCATAACAATATATTACTAAAAAACACAATGATCCAGGATGGGAGAAAACACAAGAAACAAAATCAGACAGTGGATGGAGGAAAGGTTTGCTTAAACAGCCAGGTTTTCAATTCACATTTGAAGATGCCCAGGGAAGGGGGCATGCAAATCTCAGGAGGGAGCTATTCCAAAGATGAGGAGCCACCGCCGAGAAGGCCTGGTTTCTTGTTTTTTCCTTCTGGGCCTCCCTTGGCGTTATGCATTGCCTTCTCCTTAACATCTATTTTGACCCTTTATTTTAAGTCATGTAATTGTAGGCACCAGATACAGTACTGTCTTAACAGAGACATAGTTTCTTGCTAAGTATTTCCTCTTAATTTAAGATAGGATTGGATATTGATTCCAAGAAGTTGGCTCCCATACAAAGTCAATACAGAATACAGTACAGTGGTGCCTCATATTACGACATTAATTCACTCCAGCGAAATCGCTGTAAAATGAAAACATCGTAATGCGATTTTAAAAAGCCCATAGAAATGCATTAAAACCCGATTAATGCATTCCTAAGGGCTTGAAACTCACCGTCCAGCGAAGATCCTCCATAGCGCGGGCATTTTCGCTGCCTGTGCAGCGAGGAATCCATGCCAGAAAAGAGTGGGCGGCCATTTTGTTTACCCGGCAGCCATTTTGAAACCGCCGATCAGCTGGCCAAAAATCATCGCTTTGCGATGATTGGTTCCCAAAGCAGGGAACCGATCATCGCAAAGCGAAATTCCTCCATAGGGAGCATCATTTTGTGATCGCTTTTGCGATTGCAAAAACATCAACGTCTAGCTATTTCGTCCTCAAACGGAGTGCCCGTTAAACGAGGTACCACGGTATATGAATCTATTGTCTCTGAAATCTGATACTGTATCTTTGTTTCCTTGGGCTCTTGGTATACAGAGAATCTTGGGTCAGCTTTATGCAATCTACAGAGTCCTCTACAGGGAAAATATCCAGCAATGACATCAAATCCCTCTCCTACAAGCTGCTTTATTATGATTTGACCAGAGCATGAGGTGACCAGCATGGATTCTTGAGTACTCCAGGGTTAGCCTGATGATGCAAACTAGAACAATACATACATGGAGTTTGGAAATATTGGAAGAGCCATCCCATGTACAAAAACTACCTTTCCCCAACCTGGTCTCCCCAATGTGCTGAATTACAAGCCCGATAGGCTCAGGACAATAAAGAGAACCAGTGTGCTATACTAGTGAGAACCAGCATGCTGTAATGATTCCAAGTGTGGACAGTGACCTGGGAGACCCCGGTCACAAATCTTCACTTATCCTTGGAATGTATTTCGGCCCATTACTCTCCCTCAGCCTGAGGTAACTCATAGGCTCGTTGTGAAGACAAAATGGAGGGAAGAGAGCTGTGGACACTGCCTTAACAAAAGGCAAAACTTAAATATAAGATATAATTAAGAATAATTAATAATGAATAACCTCACCAGCAGATAAGATCATATCAGCAGCTTGAGGAAAAATTCAGATGGATGGGCTCATGCAATGCCCTTCTATCCAACACCCAGCGTGACCGACACCCTGCATGTCAGTTTCCCTGGCAGCAGGGACATGTCTAGACCTAACTCAAATCTACTCTCCTGTTTTCTCAAACTTCTACATAAATGACATTCTTTACTTATTATTCAGTCATAGTTAATGATTTTGTAATCACTGAAGTTGGTTAGGCATTTCCAGTAAGTCTAAAGTTAATACCTAATCTTCTGCTTATTTATATAGTTCCACAACTGTATTGGTTGCTGTGCAGGGGTATCCTTTCATCTGTGTTTGTGTGACATCCAGTGGCTGGAGGGATCTGCCACAAGCATGTTGCTATATGCTAGTTACTTAAGAGCTTCCAAGATCCAGAGAAGTAACAACAATTATTTTACCTCACATTTGAGAATGAGGCTCATGGCTTTTGCATCAAGCATACAGCTGAACCAAGGAATTGCAGCAAATATGTATATATATATTTTTAAAAGCTGTATTTTTACTGTGTTTTACAGGGTAGGCAGCTTTGTTCAAATGCTTCCTGGGTTTTAGAAACAAATGTTCATGGCTACTTAGTAGTATGGAGATGATTGATACACCACTCATATTAATCAAACTAATTTTTGGTTTTCCACAGTCACTACAAAGGCTTCACAGGAAGGCCTGTTGGTTTGAAGCTCCCATACTTACAAAACTTGTCCACTTAGTATCCCCCAAATATATAGGCAACCTCCTACATATTTTGGGCTACAGTTCCCTTCATCCCACATCATTGTCTATGATAGCTGGTAATTGCTGGAGTTGTAGTTACAAAAAAAATCTGAAAAGCAGCAGGTCACCTGCAAATTGCACATGATTTAAGACTTTAAATCTTAATAGCCAGATTCTATACAGGTTTCCTTGAAGGTAAATCTTAATAAATTCAGTGTGGCTTACTTCCAAGTAACTATGCACAGTATTACAGCCTTATTTAATGAGAACTTTTTGTAACTGCTGTGAGCTAAAGACCTCCTTATTAAGTTCTTGAGACCATCTTGAAAGAGTGAAAGAGAAAATCCTACAGATTTTCCTTCTAACAATAAGTAAAAAGTTTTGTTCACAAAACTGCAAGTTACTCATGCATACTTCTGCATCACTATAAATATGCTAGTTCTTGACAGCTCTTGTGATTTAAAGAAGAAAACTTAACCTAAACATACCTAAAACATTTGTACTGTGGACTGAAATTCAATGGCTGTGTAATCCGATAGTAAATCACAACTAGGGTAAATCCATTGAATCTGTGGGGATTTGGCAAGTTAACTTTCAGTTAAGTCCCACTGATTCAATATAATAAATTAACACAACCTTGTGAATGTCCTTTTTATAATTTACTACTGGATTTCAGCCAATAGCTGGATTACAATCATAGTATTTCCCTTCTACTAAAATTTCTAATAGTTTCTGGATTTACTTTTTTGGCGAATATGGTAATCCAGAAAAGAGCTAATTCTTAAAAATTCTTTAAAACCCAATTAAAAACATGGTTGTCCATTCAGGCCTTCCCTCCAGCCAACTCTTGATTTTTTCTTACTTTTCCCTATTCTTTATTTCACTGTAGCTATTACTGAATCATCATGTACTTGTCTGTGTTTTATTGGCTGATTTTGTATTGGAAGCCGCCTAGAGTGGGCTGGTAGTATGATAGGCGGGGTATAAATCAAATGAATGAATGAATAAATGAACTCCTGTATCTTTTTCTGTATGGCAACACGTTTGGAAATTTCCACAAACTTGAAGGGAGCCTGCAATTTATCTTTACATGTATGGCATATTGCCCTAATGGAAAAATTAACACACCAGTTCAAATTACTTAAACAATCACATTCCCAAGATGACTTTTTCAACACATGATTTCCTTTTATTTATGTTCATATAAATGACAAGATTTATTTTCCAGCTTCCCATGTCAATGGGGCAGCATTCTAATCTGATGCAGATAAAACCAGTGTGAAGGTACTATTTCAGATTATACATTTCTAGTGAAAGACCTGTACTGTTGTTGCTGTTGTTGTTTCCATGTTGTTTCACCAAAGATTTTTTTAAAAAGCATTCCAGGTTTATTGAACAGTAATTGTTTAAATACACCCCTCACAAACTGTGCACCATTTTGAAACAATACTTGGGAGTTGTGTTAGATTGAATGGTTTCATGAGAGAGCCCCTCTTTAGATGGTAATATATGCTCTTCAAAATGTGATAAAATACTCCTGCTGCTTTTAATCTTGATGGCTTGACTAGAGATATAAAATTTCCATTTTTTTTCTCAGAAAAAAATGGGAGAAATGGGGTTTTTGGGGTGGAGGAATGGAAATTTTCATTTCTCAGTAATGGAGATTTCCATTTCTCCAGTCTAGACAGCTTTACATATATACAATTTTGTTCTGGAAAAAAAACCCTTTCCCCCATTTTTTCCAGAAAAAAATGGGCAATATTCAGAAATTGTATATCTCTAGGCTTGACCACATTTTGAATTTAATTCTTACCAAGATGCATCCTTGTACTTGATAGCATTACAGAAAGTATCAAATTGACACATGTTGACCTTTGCATATTTTGCAGTATCACTCCCCAAGTAAGCCTTCGTTCATGTGTAGCATTTTCTTAAGGCAGCAGGAAAAAGCTGAGTTTAGGAAATATGACTTTTATCCCGCTTGGCAGTGGGGAATGAGAATGTGCAAAACCTAAATCTTGGTGTTTTTAAATCAGCCTCTGCTTCTCTTTAGCCCACAGGTATATAATTCAGTTTTATGGAATAAATTATTAGAAATAACAAGCAGTCTAATCAAAATATTCCCTGTTACATTAAAATAAGTAGGCATGAAATAGATCTCAGAGGCAATTAACTCCGGGGTCATAAGCAAAAGGTTACCAGAACAGACAGGAAAACAACAGCTGTTGCATACTTGTGGACATAAAGTCTTCAGGAGCGTCAAAGTCAGACCAGGGTCTTCTCACTGCTAATTTAGCCTGTGAGAGAATGTTTCATTGAAATAATAATTAAAGAAGAAGTTTTCCTTTAGCAGCTAAAGCAGCTTAATTTTTGACCATGGACAAAAATTCCAGTTCAAACACAGTAGGATTTTGTGTGGAAGAAAACAAAGATAACATATATGAAACTGTCCTTGGTGAGATTAAGTATCTGGAGCTACCACTAGGAATCACTTTAGGGTAAGTATCTTTTTGGCAATGAATGCATTTTATTCTGTTCTCTTAGATTCGTTTTTGTTGTAAAGATACAGAGCTCTTATGTTGTTCCTTCTGATTCCAGGAGAAGTACACTTTTTGTGTAAGAAGTCTGTAGATTAACATTCTGCAGCTGAAAGCATTACTACAGTACTTGATTTCAATTTGAGGTGTTCCAAGCCAAGTATTTAGATTGAGGATGTGAAGAAGCTGTTCTTAAAAATACTGATCCAATCCCTTTAAAAGAAAAAAAAATCTGGCAGATTTACCTGTTCAAAGACCAACTTTATGTGGATCAAAGAGTTTGCTGATAGAAGAACTGCTGGTTTATATGAATGTCAGCCCCTTATATTTTGTTAACTTTTGTTATGCCTCAGAAACAAGTAGTAGGGGATCTTTGCCCCTTCCCCCATTTTTGAAAGGCAAGTGACACTGCATTATAATTCCAGGCACAGTTTTTAATTAATATACACCTGTCTACTTCTAGATAAAGGCTGAATGATAAAGTATAGAGATGTCTGATATTTGTAATTTAAAAAACCTCATTATCCTATGTTAAAACACAGCAATTGGCAAACAGAAAGAAAGAAACACATCTTCATGGTCATATTATATATTAGATCACAAGACATTTCCAGCTTTATTTTTGGTTATGTGACACAATAGTTTAAAATAGCATGACACTACAGTGAGTGTCAATTTACAAAGCTCATCATACTAAAGAAACTAAACATGGTTTTTGTAGGTTTTTCGGGCTATCTGGCCGTGTTCCTGAGGTTTTTCTTCCTAATGTTTCACCAGCCTCTGTGGCCAGCATCTTCAGAACTCTGTCTATGCTCTGGTGCAGTTTGTGGAATACATGAGTATTTATAACTGTGGGACCAGCTTTTTGTTCTTTTCAGGAGACTGGGTGATTATGGTTATCAGCGTGTTTTTTGTTGTGAATGTATTGTTGTGATAAGGGGGAGAGATGATCTGTCAATGTGATTGATGGGTGTCGTTAGCTGGTCTTTTCTGTGCAGTGATCACTGGTCCATGTGGCTGGGTAGAGTCTGTTGACTTTTTGCAGGCTGTGTCTTTCAGTGCTGGGAGCCAGGCTTTGTTGTTTTAGACTTTCCACAAACTGCACGAGAGCACAGACAGAGTTCTGAATCCTGTCCTCTGAAGATGCTGCACACAGAGACTGGTGAAACGTTAGGAAGAAAAACCTCAAGAACACAGCCAGACAACCTGAAAAAGCTACAACAACTATCGGATCCTGGCCATGAAAGCCTTCGAAAATACATGAAACTAAGCATCTTTGTATTCACATCACAGTTTAAATGCATCTAATTTTTCTTGTGACATATGCATACCATCCTGTAATGTAAATAAGGTGTCTACATGCACCTTTTCATTTCTGATTAAGAGTAAAACTGTTGTAATGTTAGTACAGGCTTCATCCATACTTGTGGTTTCTTTTCTGCAAAGCTGGGACATTTTCAGCATTGCTGGTCTAGCCAATTTATCTGCTTCCTCCCATCCCCCTTTGTTGATTTAGATGGAGAGTGAAGCAGAACTACTAATTAGGGCAGAATGGGCCAGAAAGGCCTAAATTCTTGAATTACAGTTCACACATAAATGATAAATCATATATAAACTACCTTGTTTCCCTGAAAATAAGACAGGGTCTTATATTAATTTTTGCTCCAAAAACGCATTACGGCTTATTTTCAGGGAATGTTTTATTTTATAGTCATGTCATCTTCTTCTGGCTGCTGCACAATGGTGGAGGGCGGGGTTTCACTTAACTGGGGCTTATTTTTGGGGTAGGGCTTATATTACGAGCATCCGGAAAAATCATCCTGTTATATTACGAGCATCCTGAAAAATCATCCCAAAAAATCATTTCAGGGAAACAGGGTAACAAATAACATGTTATGTGAATGTTATCTCCTAATAACAATAATAATCCATCTAGCCAGGGGGTTGAACTTGATGGCCTTATAAGCCTCTTCCAGTTTCATGATTCTACAAGCCAGTTCTGACACTGTGACCCTTTGGATGGTTTCCTAGATGTTAATTATTCAGAAGTGGTTTGCCATTCCCTTCTTCTGGGAAAAGTCTGGGATAATGTAAATTGCCCAAGACTATAAAAGCTGGCTCTTCTCCCAGGAGGCAAAGTGGGAAATCAAACTCCCAACCCTTGGCCTCGCAGCCAGGGGTTCCAATGCACAGATAAAGAAGTTTCATCCACACTCATGGTGGATGTATCAGTACCATGAAGAATCCTCAAGCTTTGCAGAGGTGGAAAACTGCTGTGGGAAGAAAGGCCAGGGGAATACCCAAAATACTTTAGTGAGTACTGAGCATGCTCTTTGGATATGAATTGCAGACTATCAGGTTACGGGAGGGGACAAATGAAATCAAATAATTTGAGAAAGCATGTGGCAGATGGTTGGCTAGAAGGCTGAAAACGGAAAGCTCTCTTGTTTCAGGTCTCACTTCTCCTGTACAATCCCCTGCCCCCCCCCCAAGAGAATGTTAACAACTTCTGAATATTCTCTACCTAGAAAAACCTGGAAAGGGTCTCCAAAAATCGGAATTGACTTGACAGCATACAATGATCCATGATTATCAGCAGTGAGCTGCAAAGTATTTACATCCCCTGCCACACATTCTAAATATTTGAATGCCTGTTATTGCAGACACATGTAGATCTATCCTGTGCAAAGTTAAGTGCATTGCTCTCCACCCATTGTCTTAAATGGGCCGAACTCTGCACAGGACTGGGATTGTAAGGCTGAAGAACCTAGACAACCTTGAGTAGGTGGCAGAAGTTAAGTCCCAGTGAACTTACTAAGGCTTTCCAAAGTAAGCATACCTAGGATCGGGGTGCAAGGACAGAATGGGGTGTCAGTGCTGGCGACCACTGAGGTGCATGAAGCCTAATCTGATTCCGAGCTAGCACCCCTAACTCCATCGGGGTAGGAACAACATTGGCCCGAAGCACACTTTGCTTGCAAGCTTATTAAACAGGAAGTCCTCCTGAAGTTAATGGGAGATGGTCCAAAACACCCCCAGGATTCGACAGCCCAATACGTTCCGATAATTCCACATCCTTTCCTGCCCCACCCCAAGAAGGGATGCCGAAAACCGCGCTGATGCTGCTGACACCCGCTGGATCTCCACCACTCAAAATCACACACACACACACCCCACTGCACGAGAACGCCTCAGGGGGGTAGGCACTTCTGAAGGTCGCCGGTGCCGGCTCTGCTCGCTCATTGGCTCGCCTCCGCTCTGCGGCGCTAGGATTGGCTTCGCTCCTCCCCCCTGGACCCGCCCCGCTCTCCTCCTCCTCCCCGCCTTTGCTGGTTTTCTCTCCCCCCCCCTCCGCCCTGGCCGCTCGCTTCCTCCCTGGCAAGATGGCGGAAAGCCTGCCAGAGCATGAGCGGATCCTGCAGGAGATTGAGAGCACGGAGACGGCCTGTGTGGGACCCACCTTGAGGTAACGAGGGGGCTCTTCCTGAGAAGGAGCCGACGTATACGTGGGGTGAAGGCCCCCCCCCGGCTGTGTTTTTCTCCCTTTGCTCTTCGCAGTGGTAGGTGTGAGAGCAATGACAGCTCTTCCCGAGGCGCGCCCGGACATTTGCTGCAGGGAGCAACCTCTGAGGAGAAGCGCCTCTTCCCGGCTTAAACCAGGGGAGTGGGATTGTTCCCCTAAGCCCCTTGGGAAGGTCCCTGCCCTTCCTGTTTTGAGTTTTTTTTTTTTTTTGAGTGGGGGGGTCTCTCCTTTTCATCTCTCGCTCCCTTTAGTTACTCTGTGGTCCTCCTCTCTCTGCTGAGGCTAACCCCCTATATCGGTCCCTTTCTCCTGACACTTCACCTGTGCCCTTCGCAGGTACTTTTCAAGAGAAAGGCTGTCGTCCTCTCTCATGTGACAGCTCACCTGGACTCAGAAATGAGGCAGGTCAGGTAGTCTGAGAACCCGGTTTCCGCCTTCCTTATAATTGGGGAGAAACGAGACTTCTAGAGAGAGCATGAAATTGGGGCTTTCATCCTCTTGATTTATACAAATGGCTTCTGAGTCTAGGCAGCCCTGAAATGGAAAGCTGGACACCTTATTTGTTAATATAACCTATAAATCCCACTGCAGACAGGCAAGGTGTGGCAATGAAATATGTATTTATCTCCACAAGCACTAAAGTTCTTCAGTAAATATTGGCCAGACCTTTCTTGTGGTACATATGTTTTCAGGACAAAACTTAAAAGGAGGTTAAAGTTCCCTTCTTCTATTTCAGTTTTCCCTGACACATATAAGGTTTAATAGGCTCTAGGGACTATTTCCCTTGGAGTAAAATAATTGTACAATATAATGTGAAGGAGTGTGGTGCAAGAGTTGTTTTTATATAACATGCAAGATGTGGAGATTTGTATTTGAAGATCTGTTGTATCTGGTAGGTGTGTCTGACTAGTTACCCAGTCACTGGGCTTGTAAATCAGCTTCCTCTGAAAGTGGGTGTTCTTAGGAAAAACAGGTAGCTCTTTTTTTCTTTGCAGTTTTATTCTGATCATAAAGTCAAGCTTTATCGTGGTATCCTATGCAAAGCAAGTAGAACAAGTCTTTCATTCTCATGATGGTTGAATTATTGTGACACTGCCAGCTACACATGTCTCTGCACAAACAAAGGTTGCTGTTGGTGGCTGTAAAGATTTTCAGATAGTCATCCTTCCCATGGCACACCTTATCCCTTGAATTCCTTGTGTGCTGATATAATGACCTCTTTTGTGGATGTTCTATAGTGATTTTGATTTGATTTATGTCACTTGTCTAGAAAATACATTGATTCTAATATGCATATGATTATGCGCCACCATTAGTGCTTGCATATTGACAGAGTTATTGCTATCACTACACAAAGTGGAACAGCCTCCTTGTGAGGTGTACAAACTATTAGGTATATTACCTAATATCCAATAATATAGCAAACACAACTGTGTTT